ACTGAAAATGGATCCAAGAACCAAATGTAAAGACTAAAATCACAAAATGCCAGAAGAAAATATGTAATATTTTAAACATTTTTACATCTTGAGTACGAGTCACTTGACTTTGTAAATCTATGTGTTTTCTTCTTTTTTTGAAAAAAAGAAAAAGAAATTACATCTTTTAATCACAGAGGATAAAAAGCCCCATAATATCAAGATTATGCCCCAAAATCTCAAGATTATGATGAAGCTTTATATCTGGAATATCACCAAGATGTTATCTTAAAAGAACACTGAGGTGAAAATTTCAGAATATTTTGCGTCTGTTCTACTAAGCAAGCACTAAAGTAGTAATATAGGACATGACATCACAGTGCAAGTTTTCCATCTTTATTGTAGAGGACTATACCAAGGAAGGAAATTATTATCAAGCGTTCATTTGTGATATGTGCTTTAAGAGACTATGGACAAAGAAATGCTGTTTTTCACACCTTGACAATCTTCACTGAAGTATGTTATTTTTGAAACTGTGTCAAAATTCTTCAAAGTGAAGAAAGCTCTCTCAAATAGGAATGAACAGCAGATTACGGGACAGTTAAGGAAAGGCTCCAATGTAAAAGAGAGCAGCCAAAATGAAGGAAAACTGCTTTCCATCTAGAATCCCACATCCAGCCAAGTGACTAACAGATGTCAGGCAGAAAACAGTTGTTGTCAATCATGCAAGAATTCAAAAAGTTTACCTCCCATGTACCATGGAAAGCTACTAAAGAATGTACTCCACCAAAATAAGAGCATAAACCAAGAAAGAGGAAGACAAAGGAAAGGGAGAATCAAACAACAAAAGAGGCTCAGGGAAGTCCCAGAGTGACACCTCGCCTCAAAACCAACCAGTTGGACTGAAAAGGACAAGGGAATCCCAGGAGAGATAGCACTAAGAAGAACACAAAAGTGATAACATACATGACAAGTCAGATAGCAAAGGAAAACATTACCCGAAGGAATTTTATTAGTTGGTCTGGAAGAATTAATGATAGTGAATAGTGTGCTAGCAAAAACAGTGAGGTCATTGTTAATTCCAAAAAGAGCAAGTGTCATACAAGCAAGGAGAGAACTGGAACAACAGAACATGATTTGGCTCCACAGTAAACAATACTAACAGAGTCATATTAAGAAAAACACTGAATATCAGTTTAACCACAAATTCTATCATAGCTATACCAGGAGAGGTGTAAATACGTACAGGAACACTTCTAGTAACAGAAGCATATTCTCTTATGTTCTTCAAGCTGGAGGCCTTGAATTTGACTCTGTCAACATCTTGGTAAGCCCACTTGGATATATATTCTATCCAACAGTGCACTAAATTGTTTCTTCATTTCCTCATCTTGACAAAATTTTTCAAAATAACTTTAAGCCAAATTATCAAATTTTAACTTGTCAGTCAATACGATGAATTTGAAAAACACCTTCTCGATGCTGAGCTGAAAACCCTATGAGGACCTTTTTTCACAATGATGTTCAGGCTTAGCCAGAAATTTGTCAAGAAGTTTCTGGAATGCAAATTTATTTTCCTGATACATAAAATTTCTTAAAAAAAAAAAAAAACACAACCAGTCTGGGACATCCCTGGTGGTCCAGTGGTCAAGACACTGCACTTCCAATGCAGGGGGCATGGGTTGGATCCCTGGTTGGGGAACTAAGATCCCACATGCCTCATCGTGGCATAGTCAAAAAATTTTAATTTTAAAAAATCAGTCTGGGTAATTATTTTTGTAAAATATTTTCTGTTTCCTTGAACAATTGCTCAGGCAATGGAGCCAGGGCAGGTAGGCTGACTGGGTTTGGTGCTGACAGCCCAAAATGAACTGACATGATGGAGAAAGTGCTGTCAGACCAGAGAGAAAAGGAGGAAGAGGAAGTCCCAGTCACAAAACACCATCAGACGCCAGTGTCCCTTGTCCTGCCCTGGAGAAGTCCTGTTACACAGAGGAGTTGGCTACTTAAACAGCGATGACACAGCTCTTTTCAGCTGGGATACAGACGCCATCTGGGATATGTTTGTGTTAAGTGCAATCTGTAAGGCTGGTCTGGCTGTAAAATGTGGTAAAAGCCAATTTGGACTTCAGAGTTCAAATATTTGGGATAGAAGGTGGGACAACAAAACCCTTTGTAAGATAAGATCGGTGCTATTAGGGACTGGAAGTCTCCCAGAATGGAGGGAGAGTCAGGTAATTCTGAGGACAATCAGGGCATTTGAAGAGCATGCTTATTTCAAAACCTTATCTAGATCATGAGCACAAAAAAGTAGACGTGATAAAGTTATCTGCCCCTCGTTGGAGGCGTCCTACGGTTTAGAAAAGCTGAAACTGTCTTGGATGTCTTTACTGGTTTAATGAGCCCAGACTTTTCAAAATCCTTCTCTGTGATCATGGTTTTTTTGTTTTTTCCCCTATACATTATTTACTGGATTGAGGTAGTTTTATCTTAAAGCCACAAAAATGTAAAGCAGCTTATAACAGATCCCTCTAGACAACAACTGCCAAAGAATCGGGGTAACTCTTCTCTCTGGAAGAAGTGTTTTAGCCATTATTTGGGTCTCTGCTAAATCCAGGCCATAAATATTTGGCCCAAAATTGTCTTGTTAAGCTCTGCTATAAAGATTATGCAAACTGTGTTTGAGATAAATATCCAATGTGTCTCTCAAGAGATCATCACAGCAGACAGAAAGCTGTCTCCTAAGCTTATCAGGGCTACGTGGCCAGGTGCCAAGCTCAAATGTCAGGTGGACACACCGCAGTGGGGAGAAGGGAACAAGACTCAGGGAGTCCAGGCGAGCGCCCCCAGCACAGAATGCTCAGGACCCTCACGGAAACCACACAACTTCCAGGTCCACCAGCGGTGGGCTGACGGGTTAAACTGTGGTGCAGTCAGAGCATGGGACCTGTAAGCCATGAAAAGCAATTATGCAGTTCTGTACACACAGAATGGAAAATCTCCCACACATGTTGTTAACCTTAAAAAAAAGCAAGTTAAAAAATGCTGTTTATAATGGGATCCTGTTTTATGTGTGCAGTATGTATTTTTGATTACATGGTAATCACGGTTACCTCTAGGGAGTGGAGCTGTGTGCCAGATTTTCACTTTTTCCTTTATATTCTTCTTTACATCAATCTCTCTTTTTTTTTTTTCTTTTACAGTGAGCATGCACTACTTCTGTTATTTAAATTGTTTAATTTAAAAAGTAAAAAAAAGAGGGACTTCCTTGGTGGCCCAGTGCCTAAGACTCCTCTCTTCCAATACAGGGGGCCTGGGTTCCACGCATGGTCGGAGAACTAGATCCCACATGCTGCAACTAAAGACCGAGGTTCCACAGCTAAGACCCTAAGACCGAGCACAGACAAATAAATACATTTTTAAGTTAAAAAGATTCTAAAAATTAAAGAAAAATAACCTTATGAAACATATGAAGTGGGGGGAACATGGAGTGATAAATATATATACACACACACACACACACCAAATCTTTAAGAGTGGTTATCTTTGGGGGAATCTTGTTCTTCCTTCTACTTTTCCGCATTCTGCAAATTTTCTAAAAGGATCAAGAATTTTATAATAGAAAAAAATCAAATAAATCATTTTGAGAACACTTCAGATGTATAGAATAGTGTGAACAGTATGCTATTATTCATACTAAAAAGTATTTAAGAGATTTCCCTGGCAATCCAGTAATTGAAATTTCACGCTCCCAATGCACGAGGCTTGGGTTCAATCCCTGGTCAGGGAACTAAATCCCACAATTAAAGATCCCTACATGCTGCATACCACAACTAAGACCCAGTGCAACCAAATAAATAAATACTTAAAATAAATCTTATTGTTGATTTATGAGGCCATTTTATAGGATCCTGCTTGGCCATACCTCAAAAAACCATGAGCCCTATCAAAGCAGATCTCGACATCCTTCCCTGGTCAAAGGCTTATCTCAAACCTCTTACCCTCTAGTCTTCACACCCTGCTTATCATGTGCTTCCTGATCCATGTGGCTTCTCATCTCTGTCCTTATCACTATTGCCTCCCCCTCACCCCTCTGACCTGACGCTCAGCACTGTCTCCCCCTCTTGGTTCTTTTGCTTCAAACATCATGTGTCATCTCCTCCCAGTTAGTTTCCTTTTGGCTACCAGGACAGACACACTCAGTCTCTCTGTCCATCTCCACACAGGCCCTCTCTGGCAAAGCCCCTTCCACATTTTCCCCAACAAATAAGGACATTCCATGAGTTAAAGCCAGTTCTAGAAGCCTGGGAAGCCACCCTTACTATAGGGGCTTGCTGATGACAAGGAGCCCAAACCAATCAAGTAGAAAGTGACTTCCTTCCCATTAGGAAAACATCATCAGAAGGGTCGTCATCTCTGTAGACAGCCACCTTACCCAGTTCCTTCTTTATTTCTCTCTTCTGCATCTTATCTGGGAAGGAGGCAGGACTCCAGGGTAAAACAGTTCACTTACAGAGCATCAGGGGACAAGGACATCGTCACTGAACACACCCCCTGTGCCCATCTTGGTTCTTAGCACATGGAAGGCACTCACTGTGTATTTTTTAATAACTAATGAATAGACTGGTTAAACTGAAAATCCTGGTGATATGAGAATGTCATAATTCTACAACTATAGGAGAGGGTGTGACCTGAGAGCCCCACTGACTCTCAGGAAAGCCCCCTCGGTGGCTCATGGTTGGGACGATTTCGCTGAGCCACCGTGGCCACCTAGTGGCAGGACACCTACATCACTGGTGTAGTAGGTGACAGCGGATTTTCCATTTTTAATCAGTTTTGTTTTGTTTTGTTTTGTTTTAAGACTAAGAAGTGGGAGGAAACATTATGGGGTAAGAGAGAATCAGAGGAATGGAGAGGAGGAACCAGGAGACGGGAGTTAAAACTCTCAGGAGGATTGGGGAAGGGAAAGGCGTCATAGAAAGGACAAGCAGAGCAGGAGAGGGGCGGGGAGGGTCTCCTACTTGTCAAAGTTCACGTCCAGCATGCCTGCCTTCTCCTGACTGATTCGTAGCAATGGCGTGTCCAGCCGCTGAATGCAGTCTTTGTCCAGCGTGGCTGTCCAGTCTTGGAAGGTTTTTCGCACCAATTCATCAATGGCCTGAACCATCTGCTGGTAGGTGTGCACACTCTCCTCTCCGGTCCCGATGTGGGGCAGGAAATGAGCATTGGAAAGACACTGTGGGGGAGAACCAGGGACGCTGGGATCCACCTGCCATGTTCCTCCGTGTTATCATCGCCCTGAGAGCCCTAGTCCCCTCCCCAGCACACACACCCTGATTATATGTGTAAGACAGGGCATGGAGATCGACTTTGACTACTCGGGGGGAAGGGGGAGCCAGAAGGAAAGGTGAGAGGAAGAGACCAGGCACAGTGAGAGAGGCAGTCAAAATGAAGACAGGGAAGGGGAAGGTTCGAAGAATCTGCAGAGTAGCATTGCCATATACGGGCTTCCCAGGTGGCTCAGGAATAAGGAATTCACCTGCCAATGCAGGAGACCAGGAGACATGGATTCGATTCCTGGGTGGGGAAGATCCCCTGGAGAAGGAAATGACAACCCACTCAAGTATTCGTGCCTGAAAAATCCCATGGACAGAGGAGCCTGGGGACTACAGTCCACAGGGTCACAAAGAGTCAGACACAACTAAGCGACTAAGCACACATGCACACATTGTCATACACACACTACCGTGTGTAAAACAGATAGCTGGTGGGAATCTGCTGTGTAACACAGGGAGCTCAGCTCACTGTGCTATGATGACCTAGAGGGGTAGAATGGGGGCCGGTGTGGAAGGGAGGTCTACACGGGAGGGGATATACGGATACACGTAGCTGATTTACTTTGCTGTACAGTAGAAGCTAACACAACACTGTGAAACAATCATACTCTGATAATAAAATAAAATAAGAAAGAGAAGCACAGACATTCAGCTTGAGGAAAAAAGTTGGGAAAATAAAGTCAATTACAAGAGGTGAAGGATTAAAGAGACACAAGGTCAAAAACAAGCATGAGCCCTTCCTCAGGACAGGCCAGTTCCTCTGACACGCCCCTTGCACCTACTTAGTCTCAGGTCAGGAAACCTCTCCAGGGAGATGCTCTGGACTGGCCCCCAGGGCTCCCACCCACCAGCCTGGGGCTCAGCCTGCAAACTCTGTCGTGACACTGAGAACAAGTTCCAGGAAAGGCCAGGCTTACGTTCATAACTCTGTCGATGCGACGCCGTAGGATGCGCACCCAGTGGGCCTGCCCTGAGTACTGGGCCATGTAGGGCTCCAGGTAGGGCCACTTCTTGTTCAGCTCACGGTTTACGAGCGCCAGCTCACTATTGAACAGCATGTAGAGGTCCACAGCTTTCTTGTCATATGTTCGCTTGATGGCCTGACAAAGAAGAGGAAGTAAATGACATGACCAGGGATATGGGGTCCCTGCAGCTCCCCATCCTGGAAGAAAGCTAAACCCCTGCCATGGGAGTCCTGCCCCCAAGCCCTCCGGGCACCAGGAGGAGGGGGTGGGCAGGGACAGAGGAAGAAAAGACACGCTGGCAGTTTAGGACGTGGGCTAGAGCACAAATGGAGGTTGGACAGCATCTAGAAGGACCAGGAGGACGTGAAGGAAAGCTCAAGTGAACCAGGGGTGGAGGAAGGACGCTGGTGGGCAGTCCCACCTCTCGGGCTGAGAGCCGGTGGAAGGTGTCCAGCAGTAGCACCCCGTGCTCCACATCACGGACTAACTCGAAGGCCGAGGTGATCAAGTTCTGAGTCATCACCTCCAGGTCCTTGACTCCAGCCCGGAACCTGCACCGTTAGAGGTATGTCGAAGGGTGGGCGACATGACCTGGCCCCAAGAAAATGTCCCCTGAGTTTGACTCTGATGTTTTATGTATGGAGGGCATCCTCAGTGTCAGCACTGAGCACTTCACACACAGGAATCCATTTAGTCCTCAAAACAACTCAGTGAGGTAGGCTGTATTGCTAACCAGATTTTATAGATGAGGAAACTGAGGCCCAGGCTGGTAGAGCAATCTGCCCAGAGTCATGTTAACTAGTCTGTGGCAGAACTGGGATCCAAGGCCAGAAAGGCTGGCTGTGGCACCCTGCATCTGAGCAGCCACCATGCGCTTCCCCAGCTCGCCCCCCATTTCTGACCTGCTTCCCCCACACTTTGCTCTGGTCTCCCCTGCCCCACTTCCCTGTCTATGGGGGGGGTGGTCTGTGACGCTTTCACCTATTGTAGTCTTCATGCCAAGAAGTGTTCTTGACGTCCAGGATGCCCCCGCGGACAGCTCGCAGCACGTGCAGGTTTTTGTGAAAGATGTCTTCAATCTCCAGCAAGTTCCGTGTTATCTGGGGCCCCTGGGCACCGAAGAAGCAGGGGAGGGGCCCTTGCTTTCCATCTTCCCAGCGGGCAAAATGGTACTGACAGTCACATACCTGCAAAGAAGTCAGCATGAGGCTTCCTGCCCTCCTGTCTGAGTCTTCCTGTCCCAAGTTCTTTGGTTTAGCTTGTGTTGTGGTTGTTCAGTTGCTAAGTCATATCCCACTCTTTACGACTCCATGGACTGCAGCACGCCAGGCTTCCCAGTCCCTCACTACCAGTTTAGCTTAAAATGACTAAAAAACTAAGGAGGACCCACCATATACAAGGGGATTCTGGGGTGAATTTTAGTTGCACAATGAAATATGAAAAAATTCAGCCTTGGAGTACAAAATGAAGCAGGGCAAAAGCTAATAAGAGTTTTGCCAACAGAACGCACTGGTCATAGCAAACACTCTCTTCCAACAACACAAGAGATGACTCTACACATGGACATCACCAGATGGTCAATACCGAAATCAGATTGATTGTATTCTTTGCAGCTGAAGTTGGAGAAGCTCTATACTGTCGGCAAAAACAAGACTGGGAGTGAACTGTGGCTCAGATCATGAACTCCTTATTGCCAAATTCAGACTTAAATTGAAGAAAGCAGGAAAAACCACTAGACCATTCAGGTGTGACCTAAATTAAATCCCTTATTATTATACAGTGGAAGCAACAAATAAATTCAAGGGATTAGATCCGATAGACAGAGTGCCTGATGAACTATGGACGGAGGTCCGTGACATTGTACAGGAGGCAGTGATCAAGACCATCCCCAAGAAAAAGAAATGCAAAAAGGCAAAATGTTTGTCTGAGAAGGACTTACAAATAGTTGAGAAAAGAAGAGAAGCTAAGGACAAAGGAGAAAAGGAAAAATATACCCCTGTGAATGCAGAGTTCCACAGAATAGCAAGGAGAGATAAGAAAGCCTTCTTCAGTGATCAATGCAAAGAAATCGAGGAAAACAATAGAATGGGGGAGAATAGAGATCTCTTCAAGAAAAATTAGAGATGCCAAGGGAATATTTCATGCAAAGATGGGGACAATAAAGGACAGAAATGGTATGGACCTACCAGAAGCAGAAGATATTAAGAAGAGGTGGCAAGAATACACAGAACTATACAAGAAGGATCTTCATGACCCAGATAACCACGATGGTTTGATCACTCACCTAGAGCCAGAATCCTGGAATGTGAAGTCAAGTGGGCCTTAGGAAGCATCACTACGAACAAAACTAGTAGAGGTGATGGAATTCCAGCTGAGTTATTTCAAATCCTAAAAGATGACGCTGTGAAAGTGCTGCACTCAATATTCCAGCAAATTTGGAAAACTCAGCAATGGCCACAGGACTGGAAAAGGTCAGTTTTCATTCTAATCCCAAAGAAAGGCAATGCCAAAGAATGCTCAAACTATCGCACCATTGCACTCATCTCACTAGCAAAGTAATGGTAGCAAAGTAATGCTCAAAATTCTCCAAGTCAGGCTCCAAAAGTACATGAACTGAGAACTTGCAGATGCTCAAGCTGGATTTATTTATTTTTTTTTTTTTCAAGCTGGATTTAGAAAAGGCAGAGGAACCAGAGATCAAATTGCCAACATCCACTGGATCATCAAAAAAGCAAGAGAGTTCCAGGAAAACATCTACTTCTGCTTTATTAACTATGCCAAAACAACAAACTGTGGAAAATTCTTAAAGAGATGGGAATACCAGATCACCTTACCAGCCTCCTGAGAAATCTGTATGCAGGTCAAGAAGCAACAGTTAGAACTGTACAGGGAACAATATACTGGTTCCAAATAGGGGAAGGAGTATGTCAAGGCTGTATATTGTCACCCTGCTTATTTAACTTACATGCAGAGTACATCATGTGAAATGCTGGGCTGGATGAGCACAAGCTGGAAACAAGATTGCCAGGAGAAAGATCAATAACCTCAGATACACAGATGACACCACCCTTATGGCAGAAAGCAAAGAACTAAAGAGCTTCTTGATGAAAGTGAAAGAGGAGAGTGAAAAAGCTGGCTTAAAACTCAATGTTCAAAAAACGAAGATCATAGCATCTGGTCCCGTCACTTCATGGCAAATAGATGGGGAAACAATGGAAACAGTGACAGACTTTATTTTCTTAGGCTCCAAAATCACTGCATATGGTGAATGCAGCCATGAAATTAAAAGACATTTGCTCCTTGGAATAAAAGCTATGACAAACCTAGACAGCATATTAAAAAGCAGAGACATTACTTTGCTAACAAAGGTCCATCTAGTCAAAGCTGTGGTTTTTCCAGTAGTTGTGTACAGATGTGAGAGTTGGACCATAAAGAAAGCTGAGCACCAAAGAATTGAAGCTTTTGAACTGTGGTGCTGGAGAAGACTCTTGAGAGTCCCTTGGACTGCAAGGAGAACCAACCAGTCCATCCTAAAGAAATCAGTCCTGAATATTCATTGGAAGGACTGATGCTGAAGCTGAAACTCTGATACTTTAGCCACCTGATGCGAAGTGCTGACTCACTGGAAAAGACCCTGATGCTGGGGAAGATTAAAGGCAAGAGGAGAGGGGACGACAGAGGACGAGATGGTTGGATGGCATCACCGACTCGATGGATGTGAGTTTGAGCAAGCCCCAGGAGTTGGTGATGGACAGGGAAGCCTGGCATGCTGCAGTCCATGGGGTTGCAAAGAGGCAGACACGACTGAGTGAATGAATTGAACTGAACTGAACTGAGGCAGTGATAACAGGCAAGAGTCTCTGAGCACAGGATGGTGGCCAGATGCACAGCCACATGAGAAGAACCAAAGAGGCAAGTTTTGTGTGTAGCCTCACCCCCAGCCCCAGCTCCCCTAGCTCCTGGGCCGGGATTCTGGAGCATCTGCTGTGGGCTCTCAGTCTCCCTGACAGTCTTCCTACCTCGATGAGGTCCTTGCAGCGTTGTACAAAGGCATCAACCTGGGCAAATATGCTGGTCTGGTCTAGGATCCAGCCCCGGGTGGAGAACCTGTCATGAGAAAGACTGACCAGTTGGGAGCAGGAACACGAGGCATTTACCTCCCCAGGCCAGGCTAGAACCAGGAGTTCTGGTTCAAAGGGAGCCTGAGAAAATGAGACCCCAAGAAACAGTTTTTCTGAATGCCAAGTAAAGAAACACAAGGAGAGGAGAGCCAGAGAGAAAAAGAAAACATCTTGGTTCTAAGAAAAAGTTTGGTGGTGGTGGTGGCGGTGTAGTCTCTAAGTTGTGTCTGGTTCTTGCACCACATGGACTGTAGCCCTCTAGGCTCCTGTGTCCATGGGATTTCCCAGGCAAGAATACTGGAGTGGGTTTCCATTTCCTCCTCCAGAAGAGAAAGTTTACACACAATGAAAGACCAGGAGGGATTCCTGGATTGAGGGAGGGAAAGTTACTTAGAGTTTGGAGCACCCAGGACTAGAAGCTAGAATATTTGCATCCAGAGAGAAGACTTGGACCATGTAAAAACTCTAGAAAAAAAATACAATCTACAGGCTTAAAGTACAAGCAGAAGGGCTCAAAACCTCCCCGCTCCAGGAGTGACAAGCGGTAACACACAGGATGTCCAGGTATGTCATACTGGGTATGTGTCTGCACAGCCCGAAGGTAGTGGTCCTTCCAAGCGTGACAGCAAGAGATGCAGCCTTGTAGGTCCTCCTTGCTAGAGATGACGTAGCCCTCAAAGATGCTGTCCAGGGAGATGGCATGGCAGCACAGGCGAATGATCTCATTGCTCATCTGCAGGAGGAGTCCCGGCAACCCCAGTTTGCAGCCTTAGTTGCACCGACCCTCTCCTGGAGCCCCCAAGACCACGCCTCAGGTCTCAGGCTCCTACTTCTTGATACCCATGGCTCCTCTCATCCCTGGTCCTCCACTGCTGGCGCGGCAGCACCTCTGGGTTCCACCTCATTTGCCCACCTCATTGCCAGCCAGTGCTCAGCTCAGAGTCCTTTCCCCACTCTTTGCCCCTCCCCCAACGAAATGTGCTGGGTTCTGCTCCTCAAAAGCCAGTGTGCCTTCCTGTATCTGCCTCTCGCTCATGGCAAGGTCCGTCTTTGGCAATGAGAAAGGGCAGGTCTCCCCTCCTGCACGACTCAGCCTGGGGGTCAGTCCTCCATGGCCCCTCCCTGTCCTCCATCAACACCTCTTCACAAAGTCCCCCTCTTTCCACCCGGGCTTCATCCATCGGGAAGCAATGTGTCCAGTCCAGGTCCCAACTCTGAGCCTCACTAAAGCAGATGATGCAGGTAAAGGGCCTGCGGTCTCTGTCCGACCCAAACGGCATTGTTCACTACCTTTTCACCATAGATCTGCCCAGTGAATTCCACCTTCTCCAGAAATCTGCGTGCTACCAACATGGCCACCCCCTCACCACCCTCTGCCCCACCCTCTGCAGACACACACCTTCCGGAAGAGGGAAGTCAGTCTCTCCCGAGTATTGTAGTGGGGAGAGTTGACCCAGATGATACGGATGAGGCTGATCAGCCTTGGGAGTTTACTAGAGATGTCCTTTGGCCGCATGAATGCCAGTTCCTGGTAAGGCTCCTTCAGGATTGACAAGAAAGTCAGGTTTGACTGTGCTTGACGAGAGCCATCCTGGCAGTAAAGAGAAATCAAGAGAAGACTTAGCCCCTAGAAAGCACAGGTTCAAAGCGAGTGCTTCTGGTCCTCCACAAATTCCAACCAACCTGCCTTTCCCGGGAAGTGTTCCCAGTTAATGCTACCTAGACCCCATCACCCCAGGTCTCTGCAATTCTTTGGGACCAGAGTGTGTGCATGTCTACTTTTCCTCACTGACTAGTTTCTAACTCAAGTTTCATGTCTATTCCTCTAGCTTTTCCCCTTGAACTCAGAACTCTGCACCAAGGAGACAGTCAAGAGCTGTTGATCAACTGACCGGACATCATTTGCATTCAGCCCACCTTGTGGCTTCCACCATAGCGCCCCCCTTCACTACCTTGTTCTCAACGAGAATTTTAGACTTCTCCATCTAACTGCGGCTCAATTCCCCTTAACATGTGTGGGTGCATGCGTAATCATGTCCAATTCCATGCAACTCCATGGGCTGTAACCCACCAGGCTCCTCTATCCATGGAATTTTTCAGGCAAGAATACTGGAGTGGGTTGCCATTTCCTACCCCAGGGGATGGTCCTAACCCAGGAATCAAACCCGTATCTCTGGCATCTTCTGCATTGGCTGGCGAATTCTTTACCACTAGCGCCACCTGGGAAGCCCCAAACTCCCTTTGGTTCAGTTCAGTTCAGTCGCTCAGTCATGTCCAACTCCTTGCAACCCCATGGACTGCAGCACACCAGGCCTCCATGAATACCAGTTTCAAATTCCTGCTAGGAAGAGATGACTTCTCTCTCTGTATTCTACAGATATCTCTGAATCTCTGTGTGTCGCAACACTAATATAATCAGCTTGTCATATTATATAAAATTTTTTTTAAATTTGATTTTTGACTATGCTGGATCTTGGTTGCTACACGGGCTTTTCTCTAGATTAGGCAAGCAGGGGCTACCCTCTAGTTGTGGCACACTGGGTCTCATTGCAGTGACTTCTCTTGTTGCGGAGGACAGGCTCGAGGGTGCGGAGGCTTCAGTAGTTGTGGCTCCCAGGCTCTAGAGCACAGGCTCAACAGTTGCGATACATGAACTCAGTTGCTCCATGGCATGTGGGATCTTACTGGATCAGGGATCGAACCCATGTCTCTTGTATTGGCAAATGGATTCTTTATCACTGAGCCACCAAGTGAAGTGAAAGTCACTCAGTCGTGTTCAACTCTTTGCAACCCCATGGACTATACAGTTCATGGAATTCTCCAGGCCAGAACACTGGAGTGGGTAGCCTTTCCCTTCTACAAGGGATCTGCCCAACCCAGGGATCGAACCCAGTTCTCCCGCATTGCAGGCAGATTCTTTACCAGCCTGAGGCACAAGGGAAGCCCCTGAGCCACCAAGGAAGACCTCATATATAAATTTCTAAAGTGTTTCTTTTGCAGCTTTCTTTGCTGAACTGAATGGGTTCGCCTTTGACCCTAGGCCACACAGTCATCTCTTTTGTGTTAGCCTTCCTTCTCAGCTGGATTGTAGGGGTTGGGCTCCTAGAGGGCACTCAACATAGTACATTTGGTAAGTAACTAGATGTCTCCCTAGTTAAACTATAAGCTCCTTGAGGCCTTGTGCTCTACTACTTTTACACCCTCCCACAAGTCCAAGTCCAAGCACTGGCTGTGTCTATCTCTGCGTTTGATGAATGTGTTGACTCTCTCTTCTTAGTGCCTTATATTGTCCCCATCACTGGGCCCTTTCTGCCAAGTCTGCATCCTTCGATCCACTCACAAACCTGAATCTGCTGGGCCAGCTTCATGAAGGGCGCCAGATAGGATGACTTGGCGAGACGCAGGATGGACTCGATGTGCTTCACTCCTGGCTTCACCAGCTGTTTGCTGATGCCAGACAGGTCCATGCATCGGTTGCGCCAAAACTCAATCTCTTCCAAAGGACCTAAGTTTTCTCCTGTCTCCACCGACTCCTGGGCACTGAGCACCTCCTTTATCTGCCGTGTCCAGTGGATCATGGAGGCTGCCGGGGAGAGGACAAAACCTCTTGCATTTTCTTGCAGCACTCCCCACTTTCATCCTTCCCTCCACCCCTGACAGAGCCCTCCTAACCCACCTCCTTTCCCAGCCTCTGGGTTGTCCCTCCCTACTCCTCCCCCTCAGGAGCCCGACACAGGAGCAACACCAGCCACTCACTCTCTAGTCGCTGCACCAGCTCTTTGTCTTTAACCACCACCTCAGGCTTCATGTTCATGGCCTCTGTGGGGATGTAGAGGACGGTGTGCCCCTCCAGCTTGTACCGAGTGTCTGAGGAAACAAAAGAACCAGGAGAGTTCACAGAGGGTGATGGGTTTATGCCACCCTAGTTCCTATCATGGCTGATGACCCGGGGCCCAGTAGCTATGTGCATCTCAGGAAAGCAGGCAGGAGAACCTAGGACTCATGCTTTTTTGACATCAGGAAAATGAGAAAAGGCAAGAGAGAAAACCTCATTGAGATGTCATAAGAGACTGTCATAAAATGAGGTCTGAGCAATACAATGCCCTCGACACTCTCTTCCCGGACACAAGCACTACCCTGCTGCCCCCACACTACCTCCAGCATCCCTAACCCCACAGTACTGTTGGAAATTTCCAACTCTAAGCAAGTCTGGCCAACTGTTGGACCACAGAAAACTGTATCTGGATTAGAAGGCACGCTGTGGACCCTGTTTCACTCATTCAGCAAATGCATTCCAAGCACCTACTCTGTGCCAAGCAACTCAGGTACTCAGGATCAATCTCCCACCTGCCTCACTCACTCTACTCTTGGTGGGGACTGGGGAGAAAGCAGATCCCTTGGCCATTCCGCTCACCTGTCAGGCAGGCCAAGAACCGGTGCAGGTGAGAAGCAAAATGATTTCGAATGCTCTCGGGCCAGGTTGTGTTTTTAAAGATCTGAGGGGCAAAGACGCCATTGAGCAGCCGAAGCAGGGCTGGGATGTAGGCACCCCGCACTGTCCCAAACTGTACCGTCTCCTCAAAGTTCTCTGGAGTGATGGGGACCGGGGCTTGGCGAATGAAGTAGACAATCTGGTTCTGGGTCTGCATTGAAGACAGTAGAGCAGAGTTCAGTGTCCAGGCCCAGCCATGCTACCCAAGGGAATCTGAGGCTCCAGTCATGAAACCCTGGCCACATATCCTGATCCTTTTCCAAATATAAGAAACATGAGATGTTTCCTGTTCTTGTCAGGGACACAACAGTTTCTGTATCCAGAGGGTTGGGGAGGAAATGCAAAGAGCACTCCTTGAGGGTAAAGACTGTGTATTCTCTCCAGAACTTAGCAGTGACTGGGACATAGTAGATGCTCCATAAATGACAGATGGATGGATAAATGGAATGAAAAGGATACAGGAAAAGCAGAAAGGGGATGAACCAAAAGTAAGAGACAGTTGTCTAAGGTTTTTCATTTCATTTACATAACTTTTCTCCTAATTTTTTTCTTGACCATGATGCATGTGGGTTCTTAGTTCACTGACAAGGGATCAAATCTGTGCCTTCTGTATTGGAAGTTTGGAGTCTTCGTTCACTGACAAGGGATCAAACCTGCGCCTTCTGGATTGGAAGTTTGGAGTCTTCGTTCACTGACAAGGGATCAAACCTGCGCCTTCTGGATTGGAAGGTTGGAGTCTTAACCACTGGACTTCCAGGGAAATCCCCCCGCTAATTTTTCATTTATCCTGCAGTTTTGTTTATGCTGAGTTTTTATTGTTGTTTACATGCAAAAATGTACAACTTCCATGTTGTTAAAACTTCTTAGTTTCAGACTTCTACATGGTTAGAAAAGTCATTCCTACTCTAAGAACAGTTTCACTGTTTTTTTCTTTAATGCTTTTGTAACTACTCTTTATAATTTATTTAACTTTAAAAACTGAAAATAAAGTGCAAAGAAGATATTCATAACCATTCATCTTCCCATTACCCAGAATTAAATTTTGGCATTTTGTATTTATTTTTTAAAAATATTAACAACTAAAAAAAAAGATTAACAACTATTATTTTTTGTTAAAATTATGTTAATTATAAATATCTGAAACAATGCAGGAAAGTACATAGATAAAAATTTAACTGTCATTAAAACTCCACCATGTAAACATTAATCATTATCATTAGAGAAAATATTATTCTAGACATCGCTTGTAGATATACATACAGAAAAATAAAAATAAAAATTATTTCAAAATAGGATCATGCTATTGCTTTAGGATCATGCTATTTTTAATTAAAAGTATTGAATTTAATGGAATAAAAAGACATTGATGAATTGTTGAGCTCCAAATAAATGTTTCTCTAGCTGTGAGAGAGATTTCTTCCTAAAAGACCCCTTTCTAAGGTTATAAGAAAGATTATGAAAAATACTAAGAGGTTAGTTTTCTCCGGGATTCCCTGGTGGTCCAGTGGTTAGAACTTAGCCTTGCCATTGCTATTGGCCCAGGTTCAACCCCTGGTCGGGCAACTAAGATCCTGCAAGCCAAGTAGCTGAAAAATAAAAGTTAGTTTTCTCATTACCTTTCAATTTTAACTTCAACTGACTCACTGCTTTGAAAGGTAGGAACATGGGCATGTATCCTCACACTTTCTCTCATTTTCTTACCACTTCCCAATTTTTGTTATACTATTATTTTGACATGCCCTTCATCTAGATCCACTAATTGTTAACATTTTGCCACATGTGTGCATGATTGCACTCTCTTCTCTCTCCATCTCTGTCTCTCATCCTCTATCTCTCTGCTGAGCCCTTTCAGAGCTAGTAGCAGACATTATAAAACTACACCCTTACATACTTCAGCATATGGCTCCTAAAAGCAAGGATATTCGCCAACACTCCCCAAACTGTAATTATCACACTCAGAAAATTGAACTTCATTTAATACTTTACATAATACACAGTTCATATTCAAATTTTCCCAGTGATCCAAATAATGTCATTTACAGCTGCTTTCTTCCCACCCAGGGCCCAATTCAGATCACACAAGGTTTCTTTCGTTCATGACAGTGATATTTCTAATACTCCGGGCCAGTAGCTTTTCAAAACATCCCTTAATTTTGATTTATCAGATTATTTCCTCATTATTAGATGCAAGTTAAATATTCTTGGCAGGAATATCACATAGGTGATGTTTCCAAAGAATTAATTTTCCTGAATGTAAGCAGCTTAACTAAGACATGTGTTGACATTAAACATTGTGTAACAAATTTTTGTGGAATAAAGTATGTCCTTTCAGTTCCCCCATTCAGTTCCTTCAGCAGTTCAGGGCAATTCTCTGTATTCTATTTTAAAATTTATATTTTGTTTCATTAGCTGGCTCCCTATGTTAGATTACCTATATCTGTCTTTCACATCTATCAACTTCTAATTGTATTGTCATTGGCTTTTTTCTTTTCCCTACACTGTAATTAGCTCAAGCCTCTCTTCTATGTCCATTCATATTTTCAGCAACAGTTATTCAGTCCCTTGCTGTTTCTAACCTACTAGCTTTAACATGTAAACATGCTGCTTTATTTATTTCAAAAATCTGCAATCGCTCTTTTATTTCATTCTCACATTTTATTGTTTCGTCGCTCAGGTTTTTAAAAAATTAAATTCTTATTAAGTCGTATTAAAACATGATGCTGGTGTGAAAATCCGCCTTCTGTTCAGTAACATTTTCCTCATGTGCATGCTTTGTTCTGCTCTTTCTCCCTTGATGTAGTATGCTTGCAGTTGCCCTGCAATTTCTTTTCACTTCCCTCATGCTTGCTCCGCTCTCTGAATTCATTCCTTCTGCTTTCAAGTACTGTGGGTGACTTCCTGATGTCCCACTGTGAAAGCCCAGTTTGATTTCCCCATTGAAGTTAAAGTGAAATGATTGGGTATTTTACGTTCCGTTCACTTTTCTCTAGACTAAGATAATAGCGTGAGGGGATGGGCAGGTAGTTAAGACAAATTTAAAACAGTGTAAAATCTTTGTTAAAATGCCTAGGCTCTTTCTCTCTTTTAAGATTTTGTTAAATACTCTGAGGTTCACTCCATTTCACTGCTGGTTGTGGTGAGGAGGGGTGTCCACCATTCCCGCAGGGAGAACGGTTTCCTTAAATCAGTGTATTGACCTTTCATTGGTGCCCACTTTCAAAGTTTATTAGATCAGATTTTGCTTCTTTCCTAGTTTGCTTACACTTAGGTGTTTTTTTGTTTGTTTGTTTTTCTGGCTTTACTTGTTGCTATTGTTCCAAGAATTCAAAAGAAATAATTTCTTAAGGAAGTTTTTCAACAGTCCATCTTGACCTAGGAGAATACAATTAAATCCGTGATCTATTTAGAATTTATTTATTTTGGGCTGTGCTGGGTCTTCATTGCTGCGAGGGTTTTTCTCTACTTGTGGTGAGCAGGGGCTACTCTCTAGCTGTGGTGCGTTGGCGTCTCATTGCGCTGACTTATCTTATTGTGGAGCCCTGGCTGTACATACAGCACAGGCTCAGTAGTTGTGGCACCCTGGCTTACTTGCTCCTTGGCATGTGGGATCTTCCTGGACCAGGGATCAAACCGTGTCTCCTGTGTTGGCAGGCAGATTCTTTACCACTGAGCCACTGGGGAAGCCCTAGAATATATTTCGGCATGCTAAAAAGACTTTTTTCAGCTTTGCCAAACCATAATTGACAAATTAAAATTGTGTTTATGGTGTACACCTTGCTGTTTTGTGGCTTCCTGGCAGCTCAGTTGGTAAAGAATCTGCTTGCAATGTGGGAGACCTGGGTTCGATCCCTGGGTTGGGAAGATCCCCTGGAGGAGAGCATGGCAACCCACTCCAGTATTCTTGCCTGGAGAATCCCCATAGACAGAGGAGCCTGGTGGGCTATAGTCCATGGGGTTGCAAAGAGTCAGACATGACTGAGCCACTTTCACTTTCCTTGCTGTTTTGATATAAATGTGCACTGTGAAATGATCACTACAATCAAGCTAATTAACATATCTATTATTCCATATGGTTACCATTCTCCTTTCTTTTTGTAGTGAGAACACTTAAGATCTACCCTTTAGCAAATTATACAGTAATATTAACTACAGTTACCACACTGTATATTAGATCTCCAGAACTTATTAACCTTGCATAAATGAAATTTAGTATCATTTTCCCCCCAGTCTTACTGAAATATAATTGACCTATAACATTGTATTAGTTTAAGGTATACAATGTAATGCTTTGATACCTATATCTATTGCAAAAATGATTACCACAGTAAGTCCAGCTAATATCTATCAGCTTACATAGTTACAATTTTTTTCTTATCAGAACTTTTAAAATCTACTCCCTTCAGTTCAGTTCAGTTCAGTTGCTCAGTCCGTGTCCGACTCTTTGCGACCCCATGAATTGCAGCACGCCAGGCCTCCCTGTCCATCACCAACTCCTGAGCTTACTCAAACTCACGCCCATCGACTCAGTGATGCCATCCAACCATCTAATCCTCTGTCGTCCCCTTCTCCTCCTGCCCCCAATCCCTCCCGGCATATGGGTCTTTTCCAATGAGTCAACTCTTCGCATGAGGTGGCCAAAGTATTGGAGTTTCAGCTTAAGCATCAGTCCTTCCAATGAACACCCAGGACTGATCTCCTTTAGGATGGACTGGTTGGATCTCCTTGCAGTCCAAGGGACTCTCAAGAGTCTTCTCCAACACCATAGTTTAAAAGCATCAGTTTTTCGGTGCTCAGCTTTCTACTCCCTTAGCAACTTTCAAATATATAATCCACTGTTGTTAATTAGAATCACCATGCTGTATTGTACATCACATCCCCAGAACTTATAACTGGAAGTTTGTACCTTCTGGCCAACTTTACCTATTTTCTGTACTCCCTCACCCCCAACTCTGGCAACTACCAATCAGTTCTCTTTTTCCCTCCTCTGGTTCTCAATCTGTCCCGTTCTCTGTTCCTATGAGTTTGTTTTTTTCTTCCAGATTTCACATATAAGTGAGATCATGCAGTATTTGTCTTTCTCTGTATTATTGCACTAAGCATAATACTCTCCCAGGCCACCTATGTTGTTGCAAATGGCAAGATATTTTTTCTTTCTCATTGCTGAATAATATTCCATTGTGTGAATATGTATGGCATATATATACACACACACACACACACACACACACACACACACACACCACATTTTCTTTATCCACTCATCCAATGATGGACACCTAAGCTGATTCCATATCTTAGCTATTATAAATAGTACTATAATGTACATGGGGGTGCCGATATTTCTTCAAGAGTGATTTCATTTCCTCTGGATACATACCCAAAAGTGGAATTGCTAGATCATATGATAGTTCTATTTTTTTTTTTTAGGAACCTCCATACTGTTTTCCACAATGACTGTGCCAATTTACATTCCCAGTGCACAAGGGTTCCCTTTTCTCCACACCTTCATCAATATTTGTTATCTCTTGTCTTTTTGATGACAGCCATTCTAACAGGCACGAGGTGATACCTCACTGTGGTTTTGATTTGACTTTCTCTGATTAGTGACACTGAGGTTCCTGTTGGCCATTTGTATATCTTCTTTGGAAAAATGTCTTTTCAATTCTTCTGCACATTTTAAAATCAGATTGTTTCTCGCTATTAAATTGTATGAGTTCTTTATGTGTATTTTGGACATGTATTCATATCTTATCAGATATAGGATTTGCAAATATTTCCTCCCATTCATAGACTGACTCTTCATTTTGTTGATGATTTTCCTTTGCTGTGCAAGAAGCTTCTTAGTTGGATATGGTCCGACTTGTTTACTTTTGCTTTCGTTGCCTTTGTTGTAGTGACAGAAATTTGTACCCTTTGATCAACAGCTCCCTATTTCCCTCTTGCCCCAGCTAACTACATTTTTTAAATGAAAAACCTTTGTTTTCCATGTTTCCCAATTCTATTCATGGAATAATCCATCTTTCCCCACAGATTTTAAATGCTATTTTTGTAGAAAATGCTTGCCTATATATTTCATTTCTTTCTGCTTCTTTGCTGTTGCTTATATAATACATATTTCTGCCCCAGTCTATTTTCAGTTGAGCTCAGTCACTCAGTCGTGTCCAACTCTTTGCAACCCCATGAACCGCAGCACACCAGGCCTCCCTATCCATCACCAACTGCCAGTCTACCCAAACTCATGTCCATTGAGTCTGTGATGCCATCCAACCATCTCATCCTCTGTCGTCCCCTTCTCCTCATGACCCCAATCCTTCCCAGCATCAGGGTCTTTTCCAATGAGTCAGCTCTTCGCATCAGGTGGCCAAAGTGTTGGAGTTTCAGCTTCAACATCAGTCCTTCCAATGAACACCCAGGACTGATCTTTAGGATGGACTGGTTGGATCTTCTTGCTGCCCAAGGGACTCTCAAGAGTCTTCTCCAACACCACACTTCAAAAGCATCAATTCTTCGGCTCTCAGATTTCTTTATAGTCCAACTCTCACATCCATACATGACTACTGGAAAAACCATAGCCTTGACTAGATGGACTTTTGTTTCAATTACTCTTATTTATTTTTGGCTGCGCTAGGTCTTCATTGCTACACCCAGGCTTTCTCTAGTTGCAGTGAGTGGAGGCTACTCTCCAGTTGCTCAGTGTTCGGGCTTCTTATTGCAGTGGCTTCTCTCATTGCAGATCGTGGGCTCTAGGATGCTCACACTTCAGTAGTTGTGGCACATGGGCTCAGCAGTTACAGCTCGTGAGCTCAGAATTTGCGGTTCCTGGGCTCTAGAACACAGGCTCTGTAGTTGTAGCACACGGGCTTAGGTGCCCCAGGTATCTAGAATCTTCCCAGACCAAGGACTGAATCCATGTACCCTGCATTGGCAGGCAGATTCTTAACCGCTGGGCCACCAGGCCAGTCCTAATTACTATAATTTAATAAAAGATTTTTATTCACAGGTCTTCTTCATCACTTTCCTTCTTCATCTTTTTTTTTTTTTTTGCTATTTTATTTTTCCAGATATACTTTAAAAAATCCTTTACACTAGCAATCTACAGACTGTGGTACTTTGATTGGAGTTGTAATAAAATGGTACATTTATTTGGATGGAATGATCTTCATAATATTAAGATTCTCACTCAGAAACAGGATAGGGCTCATCATTTATTTTAATCTTTTGTGGCCTGCAACAAAGTTGTTTTCCTTCATATACATTCTAAATTTTTGGCATATTTTTGTTACTTTTCTGAATGAAATTTTTTTGTGTGATGCTTTATAGTGAATTATTGTCAATATACAGGAAAAAGAGATAGCCTGTTTTGGGCTTTGCTTAATATGGAAGCTTTACAAATTGTGTCATTGTGCAGGACCATGCTACTCTTCACTATCATTTCAATTTTTGTATGTGGACCAATAAAAGCCAAGCAATAGCCTTTTTATTTTCCAAAATTTTATTTCCCCAAATTTCAAACATACAGAAACACTAAAAGAATTTTACAATAACAACCTGTACACCCACCACCCATATTCTACCACTAACTTTACTATACATCTGTCTTTTAAGTGTTTTCCTACCTGTGGGTTACCTTTCACTAATGTATCCTCCCCACTGTTGAAATAGTTACCTATCTAACCCATGAAAGCCTTTAATAGTTCCCTCTGGAATAAAGCCAAATTCTTTAGCATAACACTCAAGGCCCTTCAGAGGCAGACACCAACCCACCTTTTTAGTATCATTTCCCCCAACTCCTCGTTTCTTTGCACATAAAGTGTTCTTTACCTGGATGCTCTTACTCAGCCTCAATGAAATCCTACTTATCCTTCATCCCCAACTCAAATATCTCCTCCATCACCAGGCCTTGCCAGCATTCCAGGGGCTACATTAGTTGCTCCCATAAGACCCTTATAAAGCTTCATCCAGGCATCATAATATATATTGTAAATATTTTTTATATGTCTGTCTTCCCCACTAGACCATGAGATCATCAAAAGCAAAACCCTGCCTCATTTCTCTCTGTATTCTGCTGCCAAGCAGGGTGTCCAACACACCATGAGACTCAACAGACCTTGGGCATGGGAGATTAGATACAGATAACTAGGGTCTGCGGAACCCTCAGCCCCCTGGAGAGAACACTGCGGGGTCTGGATGGTGGAGTACGCACCTGCACAGGCATTCCCAGGTCTAGCTTCAGCCCCATATAAGGGTCGATGAAGATGGTGAGGATGGGCTCTGAAGGGTCCTGGGCAAAGTGTTCCAGAACAGCGCTGTGCTCCTCTGTCCATGTGGCGTCCGCCAGTCCTGTCAGCACAGCTCGGGACAGGAAGAGGGGCTTCTGCGGCATGAGAGCAGAGGGCCAGATCAGGCACAGCTGTCAGCGGAGGTCACTTACCCTTCCACTGCCACATGTGGGAGACACGGGGAGTGAGAGGAGGCAGGTAGGTTCGGAAGAAAAAGCTGAGGACCAACTGACTGATAGGTTCCAAGCTTTCGAAGAAAGCTCTTCCCTCTATGAGTAATAATAGAATGGATCATAGAGGAAGACTAAGGGATAGCATCTTTCTGAGATATTTCATTTATGCCTGTGGTTGTAAAAATGTCTTATCAAGCAACCTTCAACCTCACAGTAAAACTAAATTAAGGGAACATGTAGGATATTAGCCTCAGTCAAGCAATTAGGGGCAAGAGGATGACAAGCTGGAAAAAGAATAAAGGCAGAAGAGCAATTTTTCCATGATGTGGCCTCCACCGAGTACTGGAATAAGTTTGCCACGCTGGGCAAAAGTTGACTGGCCCAGCAGTGAGGAAAAAAAGAAAAAGGGAGGGGAAAAGGCAAAACTGGAAAACAACAAAGGACAAATCAATTGGATGGAAAATAAGTCATAAGTGGTGGCTAGAAAAAGCACAGCATTATTTAGAACAGTACTAAATAAATTAAGAAAACTAGAGGATATGAAGACCTAGCTCAGTGAACTGGAGAAGTCAGCCTGTCTTCCCAGTACTCCTATAAGATGAGAAGCAATCCCTTTTGCTTACAGTTTCCAGGTCAAGAAAATTTAACCACTGATCCAAAATCTTTCATATATAAAGACATGCATAAAAGAACTTTTTGGGTGGTCCAGTGACTAAGACTCTGTGATCTCAATGCAGGGGGCCAGGGTTCAATCCCTAGTCAGGGAACTAGATCCCACATGGCACAACTAAAGATCCCAAGTGCCACAACTAAGATCCGGCACAGCCAAATAAATACATAAATATATATATATTTTAAATTTACAATAGCTAGGACATGGAAGAAAGCTATATGTCCATTGGTAGATGAATGGATAAGAAAGCTGTGGTACATATATACAATGGAATATTACTCAGCTATTAAAAAGAATGTATTTGAATCAGTTCTAATGATGTGGATGAAACTGGAGCCTATTATCCAGAGTGAAGTAAGTCAGAAAAAAAACACCAATACAGTATATTAACACATATATATGGAATTTAGAAAGATGGTAACAATGACCCTTATGCAAGACAACAAAAGAGACGCAGATATAAAGAAAAGACTTTTGGATTCTGGGGGAGAAGGCAAGGGTGGGATGATTTAAGAGAATAGCATTGAAACATGTATATTACCATACATGAAATAGATCACCAGTCAGTTTAATGCATGAAACAGGGCACTCAAAGCTGATGCACTGGGACAACCCTGAGGGATGGGATGGGGAGGGAGGGGGGAGGGGGGTTCAGGATGGGGGGCACATGTACACCCATGGCTGAGTCATGTCAATGTATGGAAAAACCACCACAATATTATAAAGTAATTACCCTCAAACTAAAGTTATTTAATGAATTTTTTAAAAGGCATGTATGAAGATTCAGTGAAAGGAACACTAAGGATATGAATAAACATATCACGCTATTAAAAAAAAAGAAAAAAAAGAGAAAAAATAAAATTTAAAAAAAGATTAAAAAAAGAGAGAGAAAATGAAAATGTGGAAAAATATTCAATTTCACTTGAAATTAAAGAAATATAAATAAACACAGCAAAAGTATATCATGTATTGCCTATAATTACAAAAGAAAAAAACCTGCTAAACTGCTAACACCAAGTCTTGGAAAGGATTTGTTGCTAGTATAAGGGCAAAAAATGCAGTTTGTTTGAAAAATAGTTTGGCATTATGTATTAAAGGTGTTACAAATGTTCTTTACTCTTTGATTCAGGAACTCCATAACCAGGAATCTAATTTTAGGAAATATTAAGTATTTCAAAATGTGTTAGTTTTATTTATAATATTCATCACAGTACTATGAAAGCAAAAAAAAATCATAAATGGAAAAATGTCCAAGAGTAAGGATTTTACTATGGTACATATACCTTTTCAAGCACTGTGTGAACATTTAAAATGGTGCTTACAGAGAATTCCCTGGCAATCCAATGGTTAGGGGGCTTCCCGGGTGGCGTTAGTGGTAAAGAACCCACCTGCCAATGTGGGCTTGATCTTTGGGTGGGGAAGATCCTCTGGAGGAGGATATGGTAACCCACTCCAGTATTCTTGCCTGGAGAATCCCATGGACAAAGGAGCCTGGCAGGTTACAGTCCATAGGGTCACAAAGAGTTGGACAGGACTGAAGTGACATAGCATGCATGCCAGTGGTTAGGACTCAGCATCTTCACTTCCCCAAGAACAGGCCCAATCTCTGGTTGAGAACTAAGATCACACAAACCTTGAGGCACAGCCCCCAAAAAGAGGTATCTTGTGGTTTATGTATTTGTGATAAAAAATAACAGCCTCCCAATTTTTTTTAAGGTCCTTTTTTTTTTATTTATTTTTATTAGTTGGAGGCTAATTACTTTACAATATTGTAGTGGGTTTTGTCATACATTGACATGAATTAGCCATGGAGTTACATGTGTTCCCCATTCCGATCCCCCCTCCCACCTCCCTCTCCACCCGATCCCTCTGGGTCTTCCCAGTGCACCAGGTCCGAACACTTGTCTCATGCATCCAACCTGGGCTGGTGATCTGTTTCACCCTAGATAATATACATGTTTCGATGCTGTTCTCTTGAAACATCCCACCCTCGCCTTCTCCCACAGAGTCCAAAAGTCTGTTCTATACATCTGGGTCTCTTTTTCTGTTTTGCATATAGGGTTATCGTTACCATCTTTCTAAATTCCATATATATGTGTTAGTATACTGTAATGGTCTTTATCTTTCTGGCTTACTTCACTCTGTATAATGGGCTCCAGTTTCATCCATCTCATTAGAACTGATTCAAATGAATTCTTTTTGATGGCTGAGTAATATTCCATTGTGTATATGTACCACAGCTTCCTTATCCATTCGTCTGCTGATGGGCATCTAGGTTGCTTCCATGTCCTGGCTATTATAAACAGTGCTGCGATGAACATTGGGGTGCACGTGTCTCTTTCATTTAAGGTCCTTTTTTAAGGAGCTTAGTTCCCCTTACGTTGGGAGCACAGAGTCTTAACCACTGTAATTCCAGGGAAATCCTCTGTAATTTTTTTTTAAGAATGTAATAACATGAAGAATGATAAAATGTTCTGTGAAAAAGCCTAATTTAAAAAGTATAATGTGTAGTATAGTTAAGACTGTTAGAAAACAAAATAACTGTCAAATCTACCGAAATAGACATATACCCAATTATTAACTTTGAATGTGTTTAGTCATAACTTTCATTTTCCCTTTCTTTGTTTTACTTTTCTATCCCTTCCAGTTTTTTTCTTTAATGAGTAGTTGTTACTTTGATCTCCCTTTCTAGAAAGTTCAAGGTCACTATTCTTCTAATCCAGGTTAGAAGGTGTCCCCAGGCTCTGATGCAGCTTGAAAATAAAGGTGTGGGGGTCATGGAGTGTCAATTTCTGAAAGCATTTCAAGTGGCTTCTGTAAACTTTTTAGCCAAAGGAGAGCACTGAAGGACAGGAAGAAAGAGGATGTCTTAGAAATTAGGACAGTGGCCGCCCAGCTTGTTGAACTTGTCCAGATGTTCACCCATTCAACAGATAAAGCTTGTCACATTTTGACCCAAGATGGAGAGACAAGGAAGGGCCTGCTAAGAGTCCTGTCCCCTCCTGAAAGCTCTCTTCTTCTGGAGGAGTAGGGAGCACAGATAACTCTGTCCTTTACTCAGTGTACTGGGTTTGCAGTGAGCAGGCTACCAGTTTCTGCTGGTAGAAAGAAAACATATCAAGTGACAGAATGAAGAGAATTCCTCAAACACCATTCTGCAACTGATCCTTTGATTCACCAACTTCTGGTGAGAAATACTTGTTTCAACAACAACCCAAACTTACCACATCCACCTCACGCTCCTCTAATTCTTCTTTCTGTATTTCAGGTTCCACCAATATTGGCTCTGGGAAGAAAATTCAAAAATGAAAGCATTCCTTTAAAAATTAAATATAGAGTCACCATATGATCCAGTAATTCTAGGCATATACCCAACAGAACTGGAAGCAGGGACTCAAACAGATATTTGTATGCCCATGTTCACAGCACTGCTATTCACAAGAGCCAAAAAGCAGAAACAACCCAAGCGTCCACCAACGATGCATGGATAAACACATTGCAGTGGAATATTAATCAGCCATGAAAATGAACGAGGGTCTGCTACAGTATGACAACGTGGATGAAAATGTAACAATAAGTGAAAGAAGCCAGTCACAAAAGACAGTATTTCATATGATTCCACTTATATAAAATGTCCACAACAGGCAAATTCAAAGACACAGAAAGTAACAATGTAAGGGAGGAAAGGGGAATGCGGAGTGACTGCTAAGAGGCTAAGCTCTCATGCAACACAGAAGTGAAGATATAGTGGCCATCGGAGTGCCAATTTCTTAAGGTACATGAAGTGGCTTTTGGTGAAGGGGTTAAAATGCTCTAAAATTAAGGACTTCCCTGGTGGTCCAGTGGTTAAGACTCCCAATGCAGGGGGCCCCCGTTGGATCCCTGGTTGGGGAAATAGATACCACATGCTATAACTAGAGTTCACACACAGTAACTAAAGATCTCCAATCCTGAAACTAAGACTCGATGCAGACGAACAAATAATTTTTTTAATGTTCTAAAATTAGATAGTGGAGATGGTTGCATAGGCCGGTGAATACAGCAAAAATCACTGAATTATATACTTTTAAGAGTATCAATTTTTAAAAAATATCTATTGATTGATTTATACATTTATTTAGTCTGTATTAGGTTTTAGTTGTGGCACTTGCCTGGCAGCATATGGCATCTTAGCTTTCTGACCAGGGATCAAAGCCATGTCCCCTGCATTGGAAGGTGGTATCTTAACTACTGGACCACCAGGGAAGTCCCAAAAGCATGAACTTTATAGTAAGTGGATTATATCTTAATTTTCTTTTAAAAAGCTTGCAGGGGTGCAAAAGGAGGCAGGGGAAGGAAGGCAGTCAGTATTAAGGTTATTCTAGCCACTCAGCTTCTGGCCTGCCATCCCTCCCCTAGCCTCTTCCCACATTGAGAAGTTGAGACCCTCAGAAATTGGCCCCTCTCCAAGCACCCCTACCCCCACTCTGGGTGCCATAAAAGTCAAGGGGGTGTTCCTATCCCTCATGATGTGTTGTTCACACAGAAGACTGGGGCAAAACAGGTGGGTTTCCCATCGCCTGCTGAAAGGAGGAAGGAACAGATGAGATGGAACCAAAAGACGTTGGGGAACAGGACACTCAGACAATGGGACACTCAGATTTCCAGAAAGAAAACCTAAGGGGGAGTAAGGCACAGAGGTTGGGGAAGGAAATCATGAGAAAGATGGAACAGCTGACTCTAGGAGCTCAGGAGTGAGAGGGATGTGTGACTGAGACAGCCAAGGCCCTTCGAGAAAGCCAAGGGCATCCAAGGTTGCAGACAGGAACGAGGCAGACAGAACGAGACTTAGACCATCTCAAGAGTAAACAGGTTTCGTCTTCTATAGTACAATTTATATAAAGTCTAAACCACGCAATATGATACTAATATACGATGGTCATGGATACATGCAGTAAAAATTTAAAAAACAAGCTTGAGAATGACAAACACCACTCAGGAGAGCGGCGACCTTTGGAGAAGGCGAGACAGGCTTGGGGGCAGTGGACAGAGGGATTCACTTGTTGCTACCAGGATTAATTTACACATTGGGCAATGGGTACATGGGTGTTCATTATCTTGTTCTCTACGCTTTTTCTTATTTGCCTGAAATACAGGTCTACAATCCCTTGTCTCAAACTCTTACATCACATATATCTCAGCATTTAGACTTGTAATATAGCATGGTATGTAAGACCCCCACCCACCTCCCGGGGGCTCTAGAGCAGCACCCCACTTTTCACGTTAGTATTCCCGCAGTATAACAGAGGAAAATTTATACTAAGTGGCTTAAATAGACTATAAATACCTCAAGTCAGTTTAGGTTATATTTTACCACCAAATAAATTTGGATGCCAAACTCTGGGGGGAAAAAAAAAACTTTTAGTTCTCAGGGCTTTTTAAAAGTACCGATATGAGATTATGAACCTGTACTTCTCCTTCTTTTCTTAGTGGAAATGGCTATCAATTAGAACTTCAAAAGGGTGTCTGCCATTTAACCTGCCATCCTTCTCCCAGAAGTGTTTTACGCCTGGTCATAGTCTGTTCAGGCTACTATTACAAAATATCACAGTCTGTTGTTGTCGCTGTTCAGTCACTAAGTCACGTCCAACTCTTTGGGACCCCAGGGACTGTAACCCAAGAGGTACCTCTGTCCTCCTCTATCTCTGGGAATTTGCTCAAATTCATGTCCACTGAGTTGGTGATGCTATTTAGCCATCTCATCCTCGGTCACCCCCTTCTCCTTTTGCCTTCAATCTTTCCCAACATCAGGGTCTCTTCCAGTGAGTCAGCTCTTTGCATCAGGTGGCCAAAGTACTGGAGCTTCAGCTTCAGCATCAATCCTTCCAATAAATATTCAGGGTTGATTTCCTTTTAGGACTGTCTGGTTTACAATCTCCTTACAGTCCAAGGGACTCTCAAGAGCCTTTTCCAGCACAATTCAAAATCATCAATTCTTCCACACTCGGCCTTTTTTATGGCCCAACTCTCACATGCATACATAACTACTGGAAAAACCATAGCTTTGACTATATGGACCTTTGTCAAAGTGATGTCTTCACTTTTTAATACACTGTCTAGGTTTGTCATAGCCTTTCTTCCGAGGAGCATCTTTTAATTTCATGGCTGCAGTCACTGTCTGCAGTGATTTTGGAGCACAAGAAAACAAAGTTTGTCACTGCTTCCCCTTTCCCCCCTTCCTTCTAAGCAGCAGACATTTATTTCTCAAAGTTCTGGAGGCTGAGGTCCGAGTTCAGGGTGCCAGCAAGGCTGTGTGAGAGCCCTCTTCTGAGTCGCAGACCTCTCTATGTATCCTCACATGGTGGACATGAACACAGACTCTCTCCGGGTCACTTCTTACAAGGCATGAATCCCACTCATAATAGTTCCCTCATTATTTAAGCACCACCCAAAGGCCCCACCTAGTAACACCATCATATTGGGCATTAAAATTATAATATATGAATTTGGGCAGGGAGACACACAAACATTCAGACCATAGTAGGTCCCCTCTGCCTCCAGTAGGACAAGCTTCAATTCCTCCCAACTCCAAAGACTACAGGGATTAATATTCATTTCAGGGCTGCCTTGGAAACCCAAGTCTTCTCTGAACCTCTATCAGGTGTCAGCTAGAAAGTGCCACATCAAACAATTAAAAGGCTTGAAGCTAAAGAGACTTAGAGATCCTCAGTGTTTGGGTTTAATGCTTTCATTTAGAAGTTCCTTCCATTTCCACCCCAGAGGATTCTCCAAATTGAACCTCACTGCCTTCCTTCTTCCCTCCCGCTACTTCTGGTACCCAGCTTCTAGAAGCCACTTTAAACAGCTTTTAAGAACTCAAAAGAAACAAAAAATTGTAGGCTTCTAATGTCTAGATCCCAGGGCAAGGCTCTTTGTACCCTGGACCTTTCTCCCACGCCCACGCTTAATCTCTCACCTTTTACTATTAAAAGGAGATTCTATTTTTCTCCATCTTGACAGGCTTCTAGGAGTATAGGAAACCCCAGGTAGAAGGGCTGGGCTATCTGTAGCTCAACCATAGCTACACTGGCCAGCGCTCTAAGGGACAGCCCAGCGACAGCACCTTTCAACCCTAATGGACTCAGCTCACCCACCATGGAGGAATCCCCCCAAATCAAAGCCACAAGAGGCAGATTCTTTAAACTCTTTTCTTCCTCAGTCGAGACATCAGGCTTCTTTTCCTGTGGCCTTGAACCGGAATACCCTTAGTCTACCAAGACCCTGCCAAACTGAGGGCGGAGACACAACAACCTTAAACAGATGGGAGAAAGATTCAGTCGGGCTTAGGATTCAAAGGATGGCAAAGCAGGCTGAGTCTCCATGGTGATGGGCTTAATGAGAGGAAAACACTATTTGTTTTGCCACCCAGGGTGAAAAAGGAAGAGATCAAACCCTCTTCACTGGCGTAGGAGCAACCAGGAACACTTGAAATAAGAAGGAAGAGGCTAGGATAGATTTGTTGGTGAGCTCTGGGTGCACTGGGGAAAAATTTTAAGACTGAAAGAACAAGTATAAGGCTGGCCAGGAGGGAAAACCCCAAACAAGGGAACTAGCAGCGGCCTGAAATTCAACTAAATCCCTTTCTTCTTACCCAGAAGAAACAGAACCTGCTCCCTGGCCCTAAAACTCTCTTCAAATACAAACATTCTGCCTCCACGTCTCTCTCCAGCAGGTACCCACCAGGCTCTTCCTTGACGATCTCGGGCTCCGCCTGGACCTCGCTGCTGGCTGGCAACGTGATCTCCTCGACCTGTGCGTCCAGAGCAGACTGGGCAGCTCGCCGGCGGGCGCTTCCCCGGCTAGTCACTTTCCGCTTCTTGTCAGCCTTGCTGGACATTGTGTAGGCAAAACCTGCAGATACACGGAAGCTGGGGGTCCACAGCCAGCTCTACCGCCAAACTTCAGTCCTTTCCCTGGGATACCCCCACTTTCTTCAGGGCCTTGGGTTAAAAATCAAATTCCCTCAAGACACTAGGAAGAAATGGAAGCTCAAGATGAAGGCACAGGGAATTCCCTGGAATCCCAGTGGTTAGGACTCTGTACGTCCACTGCAGGGGGCATGGGTTCCATCCCTAGTTGGGGAACCAAGACCCCGCCTGCCCCGAGGCATGGCCAAGAAATCAAAATAATCAAAATGATGGTATGGCAGACACCCACTAATGAGGATATAGGAACCCCTATCTCTGCCAAGGTGTGAGAACATAGATCATTAAGAAAAGATCTACCAAGCTGAGGTAAGGCTTCACACACCCTCAATCACTCAGGGCCATGGTGAGTGAGCAAGGGCCCAGGGAAGGGAAGACTGTCCTCAGGTTCCTTTTTTCCACACTGTCACTGTGTCAAGTCACTAAGCAACCAAGATGATTTTCCTATGTATCTCCTTTCCTCCCAAGTTCCCTGCTGGAAGGAGGGGGCGGAAAATGTCCCTCCTACCCACACTAAAGTTTGTGACCTCCTTAAACAAGGAAAAATCAGTAATTGCAATGTGTCTCTTTAGCTTTCCATTCCTGAGTAGTAGGAACCCTGTTCTGAGTGTACTGAAAGGTCTCTTAGCCTAGCTGGCTGAGTTACTCTGTGCTGACCAATTAATGAAGACTGCTGCTACTGCTGCTAAGTCGCATCAGTCATGTCTGGCTCTGTGTGACCCCATAGATGGCAGCCCACCAGGCTCTGCCTTCCCTGGGATTCTCCAGGCAAGAACACTGGAGTGGGTTGCCATTTCCTTCTCCAATGCATGAAAGTGAAAAGTGAAAAGTGAAAGTGAAGTTGCTCGGTCATGTCGGACTCAGCGACCCCATGGACTGCAGCCTACCAGGCTCCTCCATCCATGGGATTTTCCAGGCAAGAGTACTGGAGTGGGTTGCCAGTACCTTCTCCATAATGAAGACTAAGATCATTCAATTTCAGATGCCCTGAAAACAGACTGGAAAAATGAAGGACAAAAGTCATCCAATGCTGAACTTGGAATTGTGTCTGGGGGAGGAAGAAACGGGGCGATGAGGAAGGCCCCAGGAATGTCTCTCTCAGAAAAGTGGAATGGTGGGAAGCAGGGCATCTCTGGCGGGCACCCAGGACAATGTCTGACGGCTGGGCAGTCCCTCTTCACTCAGCTCCAGTCTAACAGCCACCTGTAGCTTTTCTTCCTCATCCCCACAGGCTGCCACAGGCATTGATCGTTATGAGTCTCAGACTTGAAGGATTTGTACTTTGCTCCAAGGAAAATCGTTCTATTAGGCCAACACATCAACAGAGCCAACTACAGCGGTGCGGCTTCTGCCACCGGTCTCCAGAGAAGCGTCAGGCTGTGCTTCCCTGCCAGCGGCGGGAGCTTCAGGAACATTCGGCCGGCCAGGCTGGGAGCCCCCTCCCCTAGGGGCTCACCCCCGGATCCCACACCGTGGCCCAAGGAGGCGCTTTCTACTAGCCTCGCTCTATTTCTCAGTAAATAAGGCAGCGGGCCGGCCCCCTCCTCCAACCACCAGTGGCTACCAGTGGGCAAACCTCCCCTCAAAGGTGCTTCCTCCCACAACTGTCACAACTGTCCCCGCTTCCTCATTTCAACTCCGGTTGGCCCTTCTTCTCCTCCGCCAACTGCCCCTTCCTCTCCCCTCCCCCACAACTGCCCCTTCTTCCCCGTCCCCCCCACAGCTCTCCCTCGCACCCCCTCCCCACTGCCCCTTCTCCCGATAGGCTTCGCACTCTTCCTCTCCCCGCTTCCCGCTGCCCCCAACACACACCTCACGATGCCGACCCTCTCCTCCCTAGACCGACCGAACGGTCACTCTAGCTCAGAAGTTGCCCCGCGTGACTTTCTCGGGCCAGCGCCTGAACGCGTCGCCTCGGCAACCCTGGGCGTCGGGGCGGCGGTGGGGGGGGGGGGGTGCGGGGTGAGTGGCGGGAGCGCGAGCCTGCGGAACCAGCTTCCTTTGCGCAGGCGCAGAGAAACCCCGGTCCCCGGCTCCCGGCTTCGTCCGCGTCACCCAAGCGGGGACCCGGGGCAAGAAGGCTGGGGGGCAAGGGAAGGCAGCTAAATCTGGCAAGCTGGAGGGGCGCAGGGGGCCTGGTCTGGGAACGAGCTGGACGGACTGGAGCTGGAAACAACCCTTGGAAACAACTGAAAAGACTGGGGGAACCCCAAGCGCCCGACCCCGCGCCCGGGTCTGTGGGCTCCATCCCGGGCGAGTCCAGCAGATGGCGCCCGAGGTCCCGCGTACTAAATTCACACGCGCTCTAGAAGGAGCTCCAGGATTTCGAGGCAGCCGTGACTGCAGCTGAGTCCGGGGGAAAAACCGGGGCTGGAGCACCCCTGCCCTCCCGCTCAATCCCCCTTCTTAGTTCGGACTGGGGTCTAGGCTTGCCGGGCAGCGCGGGGCGGGGGAGGGAAGGAAGAACGGAACTGGAATTTTTGGAATCTGAGGATTGACTTTAGAAAGCGTCGCTCGTTTTGGGGGAGACAGGAGGCGGGGACTCTCTGGGGAAGGTGACCGGGCCGGGGAGGGGCTCGGCTCTCTATAAGAACAAAGGCTGAGTCCTGGGGAAGCGGGAGGAGAAGGGTGTGAGAGGAGGGGCAGACCGCGGCGGATGCTAGGGGGCGCTGCAGGCTTGGATTGCCGGAAGAGGCGCCTGGAAGACTGAACTGTACCTGGGGCGGTAGAAGCTTTAGGGAGGGCTGGGAGATCTAGGGAGGAAGCGAGTCTGGGGGATGGGAGGACACCCTCCCTGCTTCCATCAATAGTGCCTAATTAAGACAAAGCCAGCAGCGAGCCCACTGATTACATTTCCATGAGGAGCTAAATTGATGACAGTTTCTTTGCTGGATGAGGAGCGAAGCTGGCACCTCAGTTCCCCCTTTTCCTGGTTGATGTTCACACCTGACAGGTCTCATTATGCCAGTATTCTGGCGGGCGAGGAGTGGCAGTCCACGGTACTCCTGAAGGGCCTGTGGATTAATCCACACCTGGACCCAGCTCTGACCTCACCATCCTACCTACCCCATTTTTATTTCCAGAATTGACAACCCCTACCCTTGGCATCCCCCACCCCCATTATCTTCAAAGTGGGTGTCTGGGCTCCTGCTCAGCCCACACTCAAGTTGCTGAGGGCAAGGACTGAAGGAGAGGGGGGGTCCTGCCACACCCCACAACCAGCTGCACAGCAAGCGGGGCTACCCTGCTAACCAGTTAGGCAGTGGGTGGCAGGGAGGTGACGTGATTGGTCAGATCCCCCAGAGAGAAGTCCCAAAGGAGTGACGATTTGAGGGGAGCCAGAAGATAGGGAGACTTATAAGCAGGGCTCATGACTCCCTCAGGGAAAGGAACGTTGTGTAGACCCCATTTCTTTTCTGACCCCCCCCTCAAAACCTTGGCTGTGCCTAGGGATCCCAGCCCCCTACATTATGCTAAACAGGTAATCAAACATCTCGCTTTGCTAATTACTGCTCAATCCGATTAAACGCTCCTGAAGCTCATCAACAGAGGTGGAGGTAGGGGGAAGGGCTGAGGGGGGGGGGGGGGCAACCACATCTGTGATGGGGGTCTTGTCCCCAGGGGCTCTAGGAGACAGCTGAGAAATAGCCAGGGTAGCAAGACTCAGTACCTGGCAGTGGAAATGGGCAGAAGAGTTGTACCACATTGCTTCAGGGTTTCCCTCCTCCCAGAGCCCTTGTTACCCTCAGAACCCAGGCATCCGGCCATTCCCACAGCTCCACACACACACACCCCTGTCCCAGCTTTAATAAGTTCTGTTCTCTCACTGTCAATATTTGATTTCTCAGAGCCATCTCCACGGAGAGAGGGGGCTCTTCCCCTGCAGCCCCCCCACCTTGGCCCTTTTTTGCCCACCCCAGGCTCTTTGTGCCCCCAACCTTCTCTGAACTAGCTGATTTAATGAAATGATATTAAAGTCTTAAGCAACCCCAAAAGAATGGTTGTTATGGTGAAGGGAGTGGGCAGGACGCCTGGGTCCCTGAGGGGAGCAAGGGCTGAGAAGGAGGGAGAGGGAGCCAGAGGCTAAGGTCTGGAGGCCCCAGTCCCCAAAGGGGAGCAGCAGATTTAGGGTAAGCTGGGGGCTGGCCCTCTGGATGGTGGTAGGAAGCAGAGGATAAGGGCTGGGGGCTAGGACAAGGTGGGTAGTGGGAGGGCATTTCCAGGGTCCAGGTCTCAGCCTGCTGTCCATGGCATCATCAGGGATGGAGAGGCCAGCTGGGATCACAAAGCCTCTGTGCCAGCAGCCTCCCTGCTGACTACCCTGGGTCAGTCCCGTGAGAACCAGAACAAGATTCCTCTTCAGCTCTGACTCATCCCTCCTCTCCTCCCGCATCCCGCCCCTCCACAGACCCCCACAGGTGATTTGTAGCTGATGCCCTCATGGTGGTGGTCGGTGGTCACAGCCAGGAGGGAGTCTGTTCCATGACAGGAGGAGCTGAGAGTTTCCAGGAGAAGAGAGAACAGAGGCCAAGAGATGGGGAGCCAAGCACCACCCCCATCTCCCCCCACCCATCCCATCTCACTCCCCTGGGGACCCTGGCCCAGCCCCAGTCCCCTTGGGGTGGTGGGAATGCAAGGACATTTGGCTGAGCTGATTGATGAGGGAGGAGGCAGCCCCTGGGCACTGAGGCTGCTGTTTGCTGAGCACACAGCTTCCTCCCCACTCACCAGCTGCCGCCCCCCAGGCTGCTCAATCTACCCCCTCCCCCACCCACCACCACCACCACCACCAGCCACTGGGATCGGAGGGAACCCATGCCTGAGTTTTTGATGGCAACTGAAGGAAGTGGGAGAGCCAGGCCACAAAGGGATTCGATCCTTCTGGGACCCAGGGACCTGGTCCCCTCAAAACTCCCTTCAGGATTTCACCTTCCCTGCTACCTTTTAAACATCTCTCCCATGCTAAGTTTTCCCTCCCATTTAGTCTGAATCCTTTTCCCTACCCCCACCCAACTCCTTCAACCCATCTCAGCCAACCCCCAGCCTCCAAACCAGCCTGCCACATTTCTCCCAGCCTGCCTACAGATCTTGAAACGACTTTCTCTGGGGAATGGGATGCCCCATGTTTATGATTCCCTTTAGAAAGCTCCGTTTTTCATTCTAACTAAATTTCCAATTGTGGTGTCAATCATCCTCCATCAGAAATTCCCACTGCAACCCTTTGCTCTATTCTCCTTTTCTTAAAACCCTCAACGCTGACCACATACACAAACATAAACACTTCAACTTAATTTACATCCTGCTTCTGTTTGGAAGGATAGAAAAGTCTGAGCTTCCATCTGCAGCAGAGCCCCCAGGGCAGCCTCCATCCTATGCTGGGTGAGGGCTTTACCTTCTGTGGTCCCCAGCTCTCTCAGATCCTTTACTTCCACTCTGCCTGCCTGCTCTGAACTCTGTCCCAGCAGCCCAAAATCTCAGGGCATCATCCCTGCCCTCCCAGAGTATAAAATTTAGTTGAGGAAAACACAACTCACATCTGCACAAGAAACAAAGGAGACAACATAGAAGACCAAGCTTTCTAAATGTGGATTCTTCCTTAGTCGTTTGCTACCCTGCAGGCTGAGGCTGGGGAAGGACAGGACACATCTAGAACACATGTGTGGCTGTGATGTATTTCTCGCTATTCCTAAGCCCACCTAGATTTCCCCTCTCTGCTTCGCACTTTCTGTTCCCTCTTTCTGCTCTGCCCTTCCCATAGTGTCTGCCTTCCTTGTGTGCATGCTAAGTTGCTTCAGTTGTGTCAGACTCTTTGAGACACTATGGACTGTAAGCCCACCAGGCTCCTCTGTCCATGGGATTCTCCAGGCATGAATACTGGACTGGGTTGCCATGCCCTCTTCCAGGAGATCTTCCTGACCCAGGGATCAAACCCACATCTCCTGGATCTCCTGCATTAGCAGGCAGGTTCTTTGCCATTAGCACCTCCTGGGAAGCCTGAATGTCTTCCTTACTCCTCATTATTCAAGGTCTTGAGCAAATGTCCCTCTTCAGAGAGACCCTCCTAACCTGAAGCATCTCCCTGATACCCTCCACCCTCTGCATCCCCTTGCTGTTTTGTTTAGATCACTTATCACTACCAGAAATTTTATGTTGTTCCGCCAAAATGTGAACTTCATGAAAGCAGAGAATTTGCCTTATTCACCTCATACTATAGTGCCTGAAATAGTACCTGGAACCAAGTAGACATTTAATATGATGCTGAGTGAATGAATGAATAAATGAATGTTTTCCTGCCCCTCTTCTTTCTGTTATAGCTGTTATCCTGGGAGTGTGTTTGTGTATTTGAACCTAGAAAGCAAATAGGATGGCATGTGTTGTTCTGTATGAAGTCACCTGAGCTTTCAAATATCAATAGCTCAAAAGACACTCAAGCCACCACACATGTGGAAGACTGTAGGTCTTGTGTTGTCAGTGTCGGGGGAGGGAGAGACCATAGATGCCAGTGCTCTGAGGGGGTGTATCCCAGGGTAGTGCAGGGACTGCAGAATACGCTGTTCCTCTCCCCAGCTGTGCATCTGTCCCCAGGTGTCTTCCTGTCTCTCAGCATGTTGTGATGTCTCGGCTGCTTTGGTGAGATGTTTGTCTGTCACGGAGAATGTTTATCCCCACTGCTCTCCCTCTCTTCTCTCCACCTGTTCCTCTGGATATATGTGTAGGGGGAGTCTTCCTTGGCTCTCTTGCCCCCTCTCACACACAGTCCTGCCCCAGTCATGGACCCCTCCCTCGTTCACTGGGCCCTGTTGCTGGGCTCTGGGTTGCCATAGTGACGGTTGCCAAGTCCCTGAGGCTGATAGCCAGCGATGGGGCTGTCGGCTCCATCCACGCGGGAGGCTGAGGGGGGCTTCCCATTGTGTGGAGAAGGGGATGTTGCCATGACAACCAACCCCCACTAAGGGGCAGGGACCAGCCCTTCCACACCCGCCTCCAGCCTCCCCACCTCAGGCAAGCTCCATTGCAGGCTTAGAAGACAGGAGTAGATTCCAGAGAGCCCAGCACCTGGCCTTCCAGTTTTCAACTCCCCTCCTATAGCACCTGCACCTCTTGGGACCCAGGCAGCTTGCTCAGATAGGGGGAGGGGCAGGAGTCTCACCAGATAGAGGCGGGCCAGGAGGACCCCTTGACCTCCAGGCAGATGGGAGACAGCGGGAGGGGACCTAAAGTCAGGGAGGGGCGGGCAGGGCAGAGGTTGTGACCCCTGCCGATTGGCTCCAGCGATGCTCCTGATGGCTGCTTTTGTGACTGGAGAATGGGGCTGAGTCTAGGGGGCTGCGCACCCAAGTTTTATGGGGAGAAGAGCCTGGGTTATGGGTAGACAGGGACCCAGGGGATAGGCAACTTGGTGCCTGGGTCCCTGAGTCTTCTGGACATACCAGTGCCTTGGGTCAGGGGAGGAGAGTATAGACTGAATACGTGAACATGTTTTTTCCACTTTGTTTCTGAGACTTGCTTTGAGTCTGGTACTTTGGTTTAACAATAGATACTTAGGCTTTCTCCCATGTTTGAATGTATATTCAGACAGCCCCAATAGGATGTATTGGCAACTCCCACTCCCACCTGGGTTTTTTCTCTCCCTCCACTGGAAGTGGCTGCCTTCCTCAGCCTTCTCACTCACCGCCTTACCCATCCCATCCCCTTCCTCCAGCACATCATGCATTATCCACCTCAGTGATCCCACCCAACCCTCTCCCTTGGTTTCATGCAGTCGAACCCTCAGCTGGAAAGTCATTCTAACCACCAGTTCCCCATCCCAATTCATGTCCAAACATTTTCCAGCCTTCTTGTCAACTTTTCAAGTTTTTTATTCTTTTTTTTTTCTTTTGGTTTTTGTTGTTCAAATTTCCCTTTTACAGTAAAACTATTGAGATGACGGCCATATACCGCCACCTCCCCCATGGCAATATCAACTTCCTGTTCCCTGGAAGAAGTGATTAGAAAAATCAGGAAGGAGCTGGGAACTACAGCACCAGAGAGATGACCCCTGGTGGACAAAGCAACCATTTGGCTGGTGATTGAGGTGGCCGATGTGATGCCCAAGGGCAGCTCTGATCTAATGGAAATGACCTGGGAGGAAACTGAGGCAACATCCAATTGTGCACTAGAGGGCTGGAAGAGGTATCAGCTGGTCACTATGAAAAGAGTGGCTGTTGCTAAGGAACACCATTAGCTAGACCAGTCAGTAGGCCACCATTTTGGTCACTAAGAAGGGAGCTGTGTTGAGTTTGAAGGGAGTAGGATATGGAGGATATTATGAACAAGACAGCCATCTGGGTTACTGGGGACAACACATGGGTTCTTGGGGTCACCCTGTTGGGTAACAGAGACTATATTGGGATATGGAAAGGGAAAAACAAGACAAATTGAGCCTGCCACAGCAGATGGCAGTCACCTTAGCTGTCCTAAAAGCAGCACAGAGAACAGGGGAAGGGGGATCCTGGCACAAGCCACTGAATACTAGGAAGACCCTCCTCAGTCCACTTGATCTTCTTTAGAGTTAAGTTCCAGCTTCCTCCTGAAATGGGAAGTTCTTCCTGCCCCCCCTCCCTTCTCCACAGAGTATGAACCATCCACCTCCCCCCACCCCCCCAGACTAAGCCACTTCCGGTTCCAGCCAGACCACTTCCTATTTCAGAAGTGCTACTTCCTGTCCTGGATGAAGGCACTTCCAGTTCCTGCTGCACTGCTTCTGCCACTTCCCAGGCCACTTCTGTCCAGGCCTGGTCACTTCTTGTCTGGAGCAAGTCACTTCCTGTCCCAAGTGGCCCATTCAGCATCAGACCAAGTCCATAAGTGTCCCGACCGGTTCATAGCTTGCTATTGGCCACTGGGCAAAACAGCATATTTCTTCTCAGGGTAGCTGTCTTGACCCAACTACCCCAAATGGCTGGAGTAAGTATGTAGAGGCCTGGGGCAGGGCAGAGGAGGAGTCCTGCTGCCCATGCCCTGAGCTGGGGTGGAATGCCAGAGCCTTCCCCATAAGGCCCCCATTTTTGGCAGACTAAGGGGAGTGGTTGGTAAGAGAAGTCAGAAGAGGGAGCTGAGGGGAGAAATGCTTTGAAGCCCCGACCCCGGAGATGGGAGGGGCACAGGATAAGAAGCCAAGAGGGTAAGTAAAAGGAGATACAGGGAGGAGGATGCTAGGGAAGAGGAACAGACCTAGAGACAGAGGAGAGAGAAAGAAAATAAAAGAGAGGGATAAGAGAAAAACAGTGAGAGGCAGAAAGAGGAGAAGTACCAACCAAAAGACAGACTGTTCCCACCCCTAGCTCTCAGTGGGTGAGGGGAACAAGGATCTCTGGGTCATGATCAGAGGAGGAGGCTGAACTGCTGCCTCCTCCCCAGGGGAACAGGACCCAGAAACACAGAGACAGAAGGATACACACAGCCAACCAGAGGGCAGGCGGTAGTTGGGTGGATGTCTCAGGGAATCCTAAAAGTGGAGGAGAGGCAAGAGCCAGGAGGAGCAGAGGAGCTGATGGGGCAAAGGGGGCCAAGGAGATGCTAGAGGTGTCCCTCAAACCATGAATTAAACTGGAGGAGCACCCCACAAAGGGCTGGATCCAGGAGAGCCAGGTCGGAGGAGCCCTCATACCTTGTAGTAGATGTTTGGGGGGCTCTGGGGGGGCCCATCCTGCACGATGTAAACAGGATGCCCATAGTCACCACTCACCTTCTCATAGTGGGGACAGAAGGGGGGGTCTGCAGCCCCACCACCCCTCAGAGCTATGCCTAGCTCCCCAGGCTCAGTCTCTCTAGGTCCCATCCCGCCTCCACCCCCCAGGCCCAGGGACCCTCCCCTCCCGAAGGAGCCAGGACCAGGGTGGCGACTCTCCGAAGGCTTGGCCCGCCGTCTCCGCCAACACATGGCACCCCCAGCCCCTGCCACGCCCAGCAAGAGCAGCGCCAGCCCCCCTGCTGCCCCAGCCACTGCAGGCATGCTGGGAGGGGGCAGGGGGCCTTCAGCACCCCGAGAGGTTGCATTGCTGGTGGGGTCACCTGGCAGGGAAGGGGTGAAGGAGGAAAGAGGGGGAGGGGCTGAAGGAGCCACCTGGGCATCTGGACACCCAGCCTTGGGGGTTCCCATGGGCTCAGGCCCTTTGGGGACCCCAAGCCCTTCCCCTCCCTGCCAAGCCCCATTCCGAATCCAGGTGTGTCCAGCCCTTCAACCCGTGCCAGGCAGTCCTCCCCCCTTCTCTGACAGTGCTGATTGAAGCACTGACTTGGCTAATTAGTTCTAATTGAGTCTTTTCCTCATTTGGCTTCCATTCCCGTCCCACCCTCCCATCTTCTCTTCTCCTCTTTCCTGTATCGTTGCCCCCAAAACTGCAGAGGGAGGGAGAGGGTGGCAGCAGGGCAGCTAGGGTCTGAGAGCAGAGGAGGAGGGAAAGCAGGAGGCTGGACCCCTGGTTCCTACCTGCAGTGCTCTCTTTCCCAGGCTCCAGGCTGTGGGCTGCCCCTCGGTCTCTTTCCATGGGCATTTCAGACACAGGCTTTCGGGGGGCAGCCCCTCCTCGGGGACCTGGAGATGGGGAAGACCCTGAGAGAGGGGCTGAGACAGCAGCCCCCTGACCATGAAGATACCGCCCCAGCCTCCTTCAGCCCTTAGCAGGTGTGCCCCAGCCCCGCTCACTTTGTCCCACTCGGAGAAGCACCTTCATGCCTCTAGTGAGGCACACACCTCCCTGCAAGCTCTCCAGGCCTTCCCGGGTTCCATCCGATGTGGCTGGAAGAGAACCAGAGGGAGAAGTTGGTGCTCAGAGCTACCCCTACTCCATCTCCACGCCTGGCCCCAACACCACCCGAGGTGGCTCCAGGGGTCCCTTCCCTTATCTGCCCTCAATCCCAGGGGTGCCTTCCCACTAGACCCTGCCCTCTGCCCAGCAGTACCAATTATGTAGTAATCATGGTGTGAGCGGAACTCGTGGCCCCAGAGGTTAGGGCTATACTCCTGGAACTTGATGGTGAAGCGGAGATCCAGATCTGGCCGGTCACAAGTGAGGAGGAGGTTTGGGGCAGGGGGTGCCTCACAGCGCCGGCCCTGCGCACCCCCTACCAGATACAGCTTGTAGAACTCGTAATTAGGAGAGGAGTGGGGACCCGGAGGCCGGGCCCGGGGACAGAGCAGATCTAGCCGGTCCCCGATCTGAGGGTAGAGCACGTAACCACCCTCTGCCTGGAACCTGTGGGGAGGAGGGCGAGGTGGACAAGGATGAGAGGTGTCAGAGGCCTGGTCCCGAAGCTTTGCCCTCCTCACCCCTCACCCCTGCAGGACAGCCTTTGTCTGAGTGGGGAGTCTGTTCTGACAGCATAGGCACTAAGGGCTCTGGAAGCTCACGTCGGGGAAGCAGCAGGAAGCCCGGCTCAGAGGTCTCCTGCCCCTTGGTGTGCCCAAATGCACTCTTCAGCCCGCTCTCACCACACGCACACTGCCATCGCTCGCTCCATCACCAGCCCTGTTGCCATGGCAACAGGATGCCAGTTACCAAGGAGCTGGCCTCTCTGGAACCACACAGCCCACCCTCCCAGGTGATTTCACTATTCCATGGCAGTCAACGATGGGGGCAGAGCCTCCCCTCCCCCAGGCCACCACTGAATTTCAAGGATTTCAGGGCATAGGGGGCAGGATGGGAGGAGGGTATGGAAGGTGATTCAGTGACCCAAGTTGGCCAGGCAATGTGACAGGAGGCAAACCTGGCAGTCCCTAAACGGGGCTAAAGGGAACCAGGGTCTGTGGGCCAGATGCCCCAGACTTTACCCTGCTCAGCACCCATCTTCCCCCAGGTCCCGTACTTCCTAGGGAAAGTGACTTATTGCTTTGGAATAGAAAGAGCTGACTATTCTACCCACAGCTGACACAAGCCCACATCTCCCTTGGCCCCAGTGGCCACTAGCCAAACCTCCCAACAACTGCAGCCCCTCCCTGTGCATGAATGGCAGAGAGGGTCTCTAAACTTGGTCACAGGGGACTGCTGCTGGTATCTTTCCAAACTCCCTCCCATCCAACATCCCAAAGAGCCCCCAGAACACTCTAACTCCCTTTTCTCAACTCTATCAGAATAAGCCTAACATATCCTCACACTGCATTTGATACTCCAGCTGCATGTGGGAGCTGGTGGGTAGGAGACTGAGAGAAGAAAAGATATTTGATGTTAGACCCCAAGAGAAAGGGGAGGGAGGCGGCCAGGCCAGGGAAATGTGACGGAGACCAAGGAACAATCACCTTTGTTCTCCTTTAATGAGCTTATAATGTGTTCAAATACCTTACCTCTAATCTTCATAAAGGCTGTAAGGACTGAGGATACAAACTTGGAAAGGTTAAGTGACTTGCCCAAGGCCACACGGCCGAAAGCCACAGAGCTAGGATTAAGACTTAGAAGGTTATGAGCTCCAAAGCACGACCTCTTCCCATGGCCTCACACAGCCTCCCCGCGTTAAGTAGGAAGTTTTCAAGACCCAGAACTCTTGTTCATGGGGAATGAGATCTGCATGGAGTCAAGGGAACTAGAGGACCTCCCAAGGGTTCTGTCCTACTCTGCGTGGCTTGAAGTTTCATCTGACCCCTGGCCTTTCTTCAGAGCAAAGGAAGTATGCCATGGGACAGAGGTCTGATGGAAGAGCTTGCAGCAGAGATGGGGGAAGAGGCAACCGAGTCCTCAAGACTCCAGATGCAAGAGAGAACATGGGGGCTTTAAGGGGCTCCAGACTTCTTCCAGCAAGAAATCCCCAAGCCAGGAAGGGAGCAAAATCTTCTGCTTGGGAAATTGTTCCACCAAGGGCTCACCGACCCTCTGTGGGCATAAGTGGGGACACGGATGAGTGAAGACGAGTCAAACAGGCATGGGCGAGTTGTCCCTAAAACCCCAACCTGAGCCCTTCCCCTCGCATCTCCACCACTGAGTCCCTTCTGGGGAAGGAGGCACCCCCCTCTCCTCTCAGCGCCTCAGCAGCACCTACTCAGCTGCTCTCCTGAGAGCTGACATTAACCAGGCTCCCTCTAAGCCCAGCCCCTGACACCACTCGAATCTCCCACAAACCCAAATAACTGCTCCCCGGCCCTCCGGGTTACCCAGGAACTTTCAAATCCTTGCCCCTTGGGGGTCTCTCAAACTCTTGACACATGGCTATCATCACCCACATCCAGCGCTGTGTGCCACTCGCGAATCTGGCTCCCAAGATCACCTCTGTCTGGTAACCCATCAGCTCACATCCACGCCCCAGCACCCTCCCTCCGGCCTCCTCCCAGCTCAGAGAACCCAGCCCCCCAAAGTCCCCAAAGCGTCCAACCTTCCTGCCCAGGAGGTGTGGGGTCTCCCCAGCCCAGGGCGCTCACCTCTTGTTTGCCGAATTCCAGTAGACCGGCTCCAGGCTGAGCCCAGACACCAGCCTCAAAACCCCGAGCAGCAGCAGGGCCCCGACTCGCACGCCCCCCGGCCCAGAATGGGGGGCCCCCATGACCCCACCAAGGCCTGGGGGGGCGGGGCACCAACACCCCCAAAGTCGCTCACCCCCGGGGGGTGACTGCCTTGGCCGCCCGGGCTATTCTGCCCGGGCCGCCCCGGTGGCCGATGCCCCAGCTCCCACGCGGACCCGCTTCCTGCTCCGCCTGTGCCCCCGCTCCGGAGCGCTCAGCCCGCAGGAGCCCTTCCAGGGGCGGTCTGCAGGCGCCCTATGCCCCCGGCCCACACGCTGGCACCCCGGGATCGGCAAGAGGGCCTAAGTAGGGGACTGGGGGAGCCGGGGGCCGGGCGGGGGCGGCATGGGGCCCCAGGGAAGG